TCGTTAATGGTGAAAATGATGAACCGCATGTATTAACAATCACAAAGAACTTAAAACTTTGTTGTTTATTCTTTAGATAATTGAAAATCTTTATATGGCTTTAGATGTAACATATCATAATATGCTTATATATGATTTGATAATACATTGATCTAGTTGAATTAATAATCTCTAGATAAAATGTACTTATATCTTATATCAGTATTCATGATATATATGCAAATAATATTCAACTACTATAGGAGCTCATTCATGGACCCAAGAATCAAATAGATAGATTCTATTTTATAATATCATAATATCTCATAACGAATGACAAAAAAAGCTGATTCTGAAAGGATCTCCATCAAGCTGCAATGAAATGAATAATCAATATAAAGGAAAACTTAAACCATCTCCCCAACCTTTGCATTGTAATTTGTATAATAAAAGAAGAACAAATTAGTACAATTAGTCGTTGTTAATTAAATTATTTATTCTTATAATATTCTGATTACATAACACACGCGTAATTTAAAAATTATTTTAATATCGCTCCGAATTTCAATTTTCAATTTTCAACCAATATTGGCTTCGGAAAAACTTTATAAGCTGAATTAACAACTCCATGTAAAACAACTTAAATTGCAAAGTTAAGTTAGATCATGTTTATTTCAAATGATTAAAAGAAGGAAAAGAACATTGAACAATAATACTTTATAACCATGTGTATTCAAAGCCATCAATGCTGACTCTATCACTGTATACTCATAAAACTTCTGATCAAAAGACTCAAGTCGAGAATCAAATATGATATTCATTATGATTAATCATACACCAATATACACCTAATTATTTTGATCAACCAGATGTATTAGTTAGTTGTCATATACTGAATCGCGTTTAATCTATCCAATATACGTGTCATATTGAATTCATATTCATGGTTTAATAATGATCCATGAGGGGTCAACTAAATCTAGATATGAATCAATTAGGAATCAATTGAATCCGGAGTATGGTATTAACTTGATGGATCATGGTATTATATGTGAAACATCTGGACCCTTACTAATGATCTATAGTAGTTAATAGTTATAAGTTCATATTATTAAGCCTCACCACCATAAGGGTGCTTGACACTTGTCGTAAAATCAATCATGAAATTGGGATATTGCGGACTGAGAGTGAGAGTAATACTAGTTGAGAGTTTATAGTTATTCTATTTTTTTCTATATCTTGTACCTAGATTTAAACTTTAACCCTTTATACTTATACTAAACTACACTTTAAGGTTTTATTAGTTATTTAAAGTAAAGTAATGCAATTTGAATTCAATCCATATTTACTATTATTTAAGTGGATAATTAGGTAAAAGGTACGCGCTTCCGTTCCAAGAGTAATTCCCTTTGGATTTAAGCCCCGACTCCCGAGAATATGATTACCCATGCAAAGGGATTTCGATATCACATTTTGATACATTACTGATGCAACTCTAGACAAGAGTTGTACACCACTGTACAACCATCATAAGTTCACCTGTTTATCGTATACTTAACCCACTGAACAAAAGTAATAAATCTATAGTTATTCCATAGTTATTCCTTGAACCCTGAACACGTTTAAATTTATTAAACTGTACAACAATTAAAGTTTTAATCAGATGTTCAAATTTAAATACTTTATACGTGTGTTACTCGATTAGGTACATTGGCGAAATAATTTAAGGTTGCAAATGATGCAAATTATGTAAATTATGTGAATTATGCAAACTATGCAATGAAAATATGTGGTTTTTGCAGTGACAGTTTCCTATTTGAGCATATCCCGCTACCAAATGTTTTTCGCCTTGGCCCAAGTTAGGTATATTTTTTGAAAATTGGCGCGATCGTGAGTTAAAGCAGCTGCCTGATATACAGGCTAACTTCTAAGGTTTAAAGTTAAGTTTGTGGGATTTTAAACTTTTAAATATCCGCAAACTAAATGTGAACAGTGAGCTATTGTTAGAAACTAGTGAATATTAATAATATAAGGGATGATACCTTAGGTTGATTAATCCTTTAAATCAGGGATCAATAAAGATATAACTGTATACCTTTTGTGTGTTTGTGTAGCTGTGTATTCACCAATCTTTATTTCACTAGCCCTTCCGAAATAAGTAGTTTTGCAAAACTTCGTAGTTGTTTTCTTGCATTTTTGTAAATCTTTATGTAAATCGAAAATGCGAAATTGTCAAAAATTCAAAAAATGTAAAAATGAAATCGGGAAATCAAAATTCAACAAATGGATTCATGGAATAAAACAAAACCTAAATTCAAATAGTATTCAAGGTCTACCATATTAACAACTTGATAATACCTAAGGGAAAGGATTTCTTATTCAAACAAATCATCAATCTTTTCATAATCTCAAACCAGTTCCAAAATTCCAAATTCTCATACTTCATTTCCATTTCAAACCATTATTAATTGTTTATATTTAATCCCTCCAGTTTGTTAAGAGAACCTTCTTTTTGTTGTTTCAGATATTAAAAATTCATTTAAATAAACTAAATTATCCTCAAAATTACAAAACCTCATCCACTTAATTATAAATGACTATTCTGGATAATATTCATATAGCTGCTACTCAAGCTTATAAGGAGAAACATAAAGCTGGGATGAGATATTCCCCAGAAACATTTTCACATTATCAATTAGATGTCTTAAGGGTGATTTGTATTGTTAGTTCTTCAATATCAATATTATCATGTTTTTGCACATTTTATACTTATGGTGCAATTCACCCTAAAAGAAAGAAGTTTAGACATCAATTAATTTTTTTCTTGATTATATTTGATTTCTTAAAAGCTTTATCAATATTATTATATCCTATTCTGTCAATGGTTAGGAAAACTACTCAAATTGGTCCTAAAACTATAAATTTCCTGGGATTTTTCACTGCTTTATCCATTGAAGGTGGTGATTTAGCCATCTTATCATTTGCAGTTCATACATTATTATTAATTTTTTACCCTCAAAGAACTGGTGGATTATATTTCATTAGATATTATGTTTATGTCTTTTCCGTATTAGGACCAACAATATTGGCATGTTTAGCATTCATTAATGAAGTTGGTTATGTGGAATTAGATATTTGGTGTTATATGCCTGAGAGACCAACTTGGTATAGAATGGTGCTAAGTTGGGCACCTCGTTATGCTATAATGTTGGCAATTTTAATAATTTATTCAACAATATATTTTTATATTATGAAACAATTGAAAAGTCTTGAAGATCAACAAAGAACAATGAATAATTCAAATGCAACTGAATTTAATTTACAAACTGGATTTCAATTAGATAATGAAGAAAAATTAAAAACTCGTTACAAGATTATTGCAAGACAAACAAAATTTATTTTCCTTTATCCATTAGCTTATTTTATATTATGGATCCTTCCATTAGTTGGAAATTCATTACGTTTGGATTTAAAATCAAATTATGGACTTTCAGTTTTAATTTCGTTCATGCAACCTTTTAATGGTACTATAGATACTTTAGTTTATCTTTATCGTGAAAAACCTTGGACTTTAACATATTCAAATACACCAAAATCTCCATTTGCTTCTGAAGAACATATTTCAAAATGGAGAACTTATCTAAGTTGGTTACCATTATATAAAATCCCAAGTGAAGAATCAAGAAGAAATCAAACATTTGATGAAAATTTACAAAAAAATATAAATATGGTTAATGCATTAAATCCAGAAGAATTCTTGAGGAAAGATTCTATTATAGATGATTTGGAAAAACATCAAGGTGGTGAAAATTCAAGTAATTCCACTGCAACTAATATTAATTTAAGATCAATGGATTTTAATAATCATGATTATTCAGAACATGATCATGATCATTCAAATATTCAATCAAATAATTCGGAAAGTGATGATGAAATTGATATGTTGGATTTTTTAAATAAAGGTCCCCAATAGATCAATGTCATACTCACAAACATTTTATGAGTTTAGACTCATACATTTTACATTTCTTACACAATTTTAACAATTTTCAACATTCATACAATTAAACAATGGGTTTAATTTTAATTTTAATTTTCAATTTAATAATTTTAAAGGTTTTTTTTACAAGGTTTCATTTTCAATTCATTTCATTTCATCGTTTTGTGTCTTTTTTTACATTGGTTTTACATAAAAAAGCAAGTTTTTGGTTTTAGTTTTAGTTTTAGTATATATATAGTTTTGGTTTTGGTTTTGGTGTATATAGGGATATGCATGAGTTTTAAATATAGAAATAAAGAAAAGTTAATAATTTAATCAACCATGTAGATCAGATGAAATGATTTTGTATTTATTTTGTTTGAGATCCAGCCCATTTTGTTAATACTAAATAATCATTATATAATTCTTTTAATTCAGATATTTTAAAATCTTCAAATGATGATTTATTTGAAAATTTAGTTATATCAATAGGTAATGATGGATTTTGTTTATTTTGTGAAGGTGGTGGTGAATTTTGTGGTTCTATAATTGTTGGTGTTGTATTATTCCCACTCCCACTACCACTTCTCCATCTCATTGCTCCAACAATTTTATTTAATGGATTATAACCATCTATACTACCAGAGTTTAATGATTGTTCTTCAATAGATTTTGTTGTTGTTGTAGGTGGTGCTGTTGTTGATTGTTCATTAATATTTGCTGAGCCAAATCTATGAATCATTGATTTAAATGAATTATCAATTGCAGAACTAATTAATCTTATACCATCTGTGGAAGTTGATAAAAATTGACCATCTGATGGTAATACAATATCAATATTTTCATCTTTAAATTCATGTTTTTCTTTTAAAAATTGTATATCATTTTCATCAAGTTCTTTATAATTTAAATCATCATTATTCAAGATATCTAAATGTTGGATAAATGTAATAGCAGCTTCAAAATTTGTTAAACAATATAATGGTTCTTCAATGAGTAATAAATCTTGTCTAAATCTCTTGATATATATAAAATTTGAATAAAAATCAACATCATTTGTGTTTATCAAGATTAAAAATATGATTAATGGTAAAAAATAATCACCATCAATGAATTGTGTGTTTAATTGTGCTTTTAAGAAATTATTTATAGATGAATGAATTTTAATTAATACTTTTAATTTTGAATATGGTGTCTTATAATGATTTAAATCATTGAAAAAATTTGAAATTTCAAATAATATAGGTGAATCCAAGTCAATTTTTTGGATATCTAATAATATTTCATAATTTATATTGGGGATTTTTTGAATTGTTTTCAATTTTTTTTTAATATAATCATTTGTTGAAACATCTTTATTAAATTTATTAAATAATTTATCAAATAATTCAATACATATTTTCTCTTCAGAAATTTCCATGTATCTTCTAATTTTAGAATCGATTCGTTGTTCAAATCGATTTTGTTCTTCTTGTTCCACAGGTGTCAGCATTTCAATTTTAGCAACTCTCTTCTTATAAAAGACAGAACCTTTAACGAAAACTTCAGTCTTGTTTTGGAACTTGGTATAAAAATCTTGGAAAGTATCACTTAATTGTTCTGGTGTTAATGGTTTTTGATACCTTGGAGTTTTCAAATCTTTCAAGAATCCATCAATAAATTGATTCAATTGTGATGGTAATTCTTGTGGTAATTCTTCATTATCACTATGAATTGAGCTCAATGATTCCTTTCTGCTAAGTAAACTCAGTGATCTTGATCTTGATCTTAAAGGATCCTGATATGATTCCTGAGTTGATTCATCATTAAATGATTGTTTTATTGGTGGCGTATGGAACATTATGATCTGAAACCAGCACAGTATTAACAGCAAATATACCCAAACCGACCTCAAATATCACGATAGTCCACTTGTTTTCCTCCTGAAACCAGCTTTTTACCCTTTAAATCACAGATTTCTTGTTGTACTTGATGTTGACGTTTTTTTTTGTTGATGTTTTGCAATGAGATCAAAAATATTCTAAATTTTTCTGTCAAAATCTATAAAAAACAATGAGACATAAATATAAAAGACAGGAAAGAACGGGAAATAAAGAGAAGTAAGCAGAATAGAAGATCATAATAAGTCATAATATAGTACTACCATGTCCATCAAGAGATCTTATTCTCCTTCAATTGACGATATTCGTCAATACAACATCAAAAAACAACGAATTCTTGATGATTTAGATAATCTATCACTTGGTAACAAAACACCAAGAACCAACAATCCACAACCAATTTCTACAAGAGATAGGGAATTCATACCAGATATAGATGATTTCCTGGTACATAATCAAGATGATCAAGATATTTTGGAAAGTTCAAGTGAAGTTTTAGATCTTGAACATTATAATAATTCTCAATTGTTAATACCCAAAAGTTTAACCAAATTGAATAAGATTAGTTATAATGATGCCAAATTTAGTTTTGAAAGGATCTTGAATCGTAAGAAATTCAATCAGAAACTAGAAGGATTCCAAGGAAATTTACAAATTTCAAATGATGATATATTATGGGATAATGAAATTTTAAAATTTTGGAGTTTGATTAAATATTGGGAACCAAACTTGATGATTTATCAAATTTGGGAAGTTTGGTATTTTAATGTTTATAAATTAAATCAATTTGATGAGGAGTTTCAAAGTAGGATTGAAATGTTACCAGATGATTATCCTGTGGATCAAAATCATCCAATGGAAGATCAAGAGGATCAAGATTTAATGATTGATGATATTTATGAATTGAATGAATTTAATGAAAAACCCAAACAAGAATACAACTATAATGAAACTTATGAACCAACACCTTATATAGAAGAAGTTCAATCTATGGACCCTGAAGATTCAATGGATATAGATTAATATACACTACATCATAATATATTATAGTACAATTAAACTTGTTTATAAACCTAGTATTATATAAGTATAAATATAGCAAAAAACTCCCAAGCAAAAAAACAATATTACAATTAATCTTTTTAAAATCTTAAAAACACAAGAATATAAACACAATCATGATTGATTCATTATTATAAAGAATGTCCATTTTGTTCCCCCTTTAGCCCACTACCTCAACTATTAACTTTGACTTCAAAGGTTATTTTATTCATCATCAATTAAAATTTTAAATTTATTTTGTAAAACATATGAAACATCATCATTTGTTAAAATTTCTTTACCCTTTTCATCATTTGAATTTGATTTTATAAAAATTTTAAAATTTGCATCAATTTGATCATCATCATATATTCTTTTTTTAATTTTTTCTCTTAATTCATCTAATAATGAATCTTCATTAATTAATAAAGCAAAAATATCATCTTTATAATAAAATTTTAATTTTATTTGATTTTTTGTAGTTGTCGGTGGTGGGATATTATGAGCATTTAATGTTTTAACAGATTCTTCTTTAACTATTGTACTATTTGGATCTTCTTCATCATAATGGCCCTGTGGTGCCACAAAACTTGAATCATCATCAACTTGTTCATTTGATTGTGAAGTATGATCATAAGGATGTTTAAATTCAAATAATTTTTTAACACAATTTGATTGTGATATATATTTGGGTAGTGAAATTAATTCTTGAACATAATCATTTAAATCAATTTGTCTTTTTTTAGTAATTTTATCAGTAACATAAGTTAATGGACCTGGAATAAATGGCAATATTCTTTTTTGTCCTCCTTGACCACTTTGACCTCCATTTCCTTGTCTACCAGCTTCTTGTGGAAAATATTCTAATAATTTAATTTGGAAATCATAAAAATCATCATAATATCTACAAAGTGATCTAATTTCACCATTACTTAATTTTGCAACCATATGGAACCAATAACGACCATTATCAATTTGATATGAATCAACTTGTGCCTCAACGATATAAGGTTTTGTTTCATCAACTAATACAGCATCACCATAATTAATATATGTATTTGATCTTGTTAATTCAGTTGTTGAACCACCTATGGAACCACCCATTCCATTTGAATGGTTTTGATGAATTGTTGTATTTGTTGTAGCACCAGATATTGATCTTGATCCATTCCCATTATTATTTGATCTATATTCATCATTTCCACCTAGGGAAAGTTCCTCAACTTGACCTAATGGAATACTACTAGCTTTATAACGAGCATTTTTGTTTTTCCAATCATCAACAGTTGGTAAATTTGCCATATTAATATCATCAATAACATCATTCCCTGTGGAATTCCCCGTCAAGATATTTATAATTGATACATAACTTACTGGCACTAAACCAGGACCACCTAATCTATCTATTGGTTTAGCAATGAACCATTCATAATCATGATGAGCACAAAGTATGATATTTTCACCAATATTTACATCTAATTCATCAGATCTTTCAGCTTTAAATTCATATAATACAATGGCATATAATGTATTTGATGATGATGAAGATCTTAATGAAGATCTTGAATGTGGTAAATTACTTGAATCTGTTGATAATTTCTTGGAAGATGGTGAATTATTTAATGATGATTGTTGATGATATTTTGGATTTGATACTGGTCTTGTTTTACCGAAAACTTCAAAATATGGTACTGGAACCATCCCTCTTAAATTTCTTGATGGATTACAAGCTTCATACCATTCAGGGTCATTTTCATTACCAATAACATGGAAAAAATCACCTTTTTGAAATTCTAATTCTCCAGGTCCTTGTGGCTTATAATCATAAAGAGCTTTAATAACTCTTTTGGGAGATTGTAATAAATTATTTTGAGTTATTTGAATTTCTTGTACTGAAGATATTGAATTTTTTTTATCATTAAGAGATTTTGGTGATGATATTGATGAAGTTGAAGATTTTGATTTTTCTTTAATTGATTTTCTAAGTCCCTGTGGTAATGAGTTGTTAGTATATGAAACACGAGAATATAAAAGGTAACACCACTTGGTTCTATGGATATACTCACTTTAATCATTGTGATAGATTCACCCTTGGATAATCAGATTGTGGTTATTATACAAAAGCAATAAATAAACAATCAATTATTCAATTGTCTCAGATTAAAATTAGTGTCTTTTGAGGTTATTTTAGTTTTATTTTATTTTTATTTAGTTGAAATTGACACTTTGAATTTTATTTTTTTTGAAATTCGCGAAGATTTTGAGAAAAAACGCGAAAAAATAGTCACGTGACTGTGTTAGGTGCTGATATTTACTTAGGATTTAGTGATTTATATGGGGATCTCTGTGTAAATATAGTCACTGGAGCATTTGTATATAATAAACTTGAATTACTATATAATTTATATTTTATTTGTATATATTGTGTATATTTATTTTGTATTTATTGTATATCTGTATTGTATTATCTACTTCTCCCTTTTGGAATGATTAATCACATATTTAACAGTATAACCCAATACCAATTGAACAATTTTATAAGTATGAACTTCATTCAACACAATCAATTCAAATAATTTAAATAAATAAAATATAACATTTGATTTCAATCCTTCAAATGTTAAAAGTGATGGCTCTTTATATATGATTGCATTTGGACCACGACTTATAGCAGTTTTAATCTCTGCAATTACTTGTACTGGATCATCTGTAACTATACCACCAACACCTAATTGAATTGCCTTTTTAATATCATCTGGATGATTAACTGTCCATAGATATAATGAAATATTATTTGCATCAAGTACGGTTTTCTTGAACTTTTTGAAATCAGAAGACCATGACGAAACATCCAAGATGGAAATTGCACTTAATTTATAATTTTTTGGGACACTTTGGGAATATGAAATAAATTGCTTGGAAATTTCTGATGATATAGCAATATTTATAATTTGGAAATTTTCTAAAAGTCCAGTGGTATAACCAAATTCATAAAAATCTAATCTCCAAAGTCCAAATATTATTCTTGAATTCCAAAATTGTAAATCATCTTTAATATCTAATAAATCTTTTAAAATTTTAGCAAATATAGATTTACTATTGAAAGGTTTAATATCCAACATTATCTTTATATCATTTCTTTGTTTTGTAAACCATTGAGTTAATTCCTTAAAAGTTAAGAATTCTTGTGATGAATCTTGTTTATTTGTTAATTTTTTCAAATCTGATAAATTTGTTTGTGAAACTACTAGGTCTTTATCATGAACTCTTCCTGTTGTAGTATCATGATTTATAACAATAATACCATCTAAAGTAATATGAAGATCTGTTTCAAGAACATCAACACCTGAATCTATTGCCCCTTGGAATGCGGCAAGTGTATTTTCAGCATATTTTTCCTTGTAACTTGGTACTGTTAGTATATGATGCTAAGTACAACTAGTAATAAAGCATACCCTCTGTGAGCAATAACTAATGGAGCCATTGTGTATGATTTTATTGAATTGTACTTGATTATATTTAAAGGAAAAGATTTCAATCAGTTTATAACTTTTCAATTCAGTTCCACAATTGCAATTGACACTACCACATGGCCTTGATCATGTACGCCATTACGCCATTACATTAGACAGTGATTTACTATATAACTATTACGAATAGGCTTGGAGTTATACTACTGAATCCTGATCATAATGGACTATTAAATCCATCTCTTAGTTGATTTTTGTGTCAATAATTGTAAAAGTGTTTCGATCCAATCTTTTATACCCATCTTTTATACCGTATATAAGTAATTCATATACCCGTCAATCAAGAAATACATTAAAAGAAGTCACAGAACAACTATAAAAACGAAACAAAAACAGAGAACAATAGTACAAACGAATACAACTCCAAGCTAGTATAATATCACCTTCATCATCACCCGTCTCTTCACCATCTATTACTTTCATTTACCAGTACTCATCTCAAATACCCGGTAAACACCACATACAATTCTTTTTTTTTTCATCGACTCATCTCTAAAATTTCAATAAACATCTCCATAAACCCAGTTGAATACGATACAAATTATATCCAAGTACTTATCATGGGAAATAATCATTTCAGTGATGTGGTGCTAGACAACAAAGCCATCAGTGGAATCACAGGTTCCATTTCCATTAGTTTTTGGATTATAGTGTTTGTTCCACAAATTTATGAAAATGTATGATATAATAACTGCTTATACTTTATTTGGTTGTTTACTAACTGTTTTCTCAATAGTATGTTAGAAAATCAAGTGAAGGTTTATCCCTTCTATTCGTTGTATTATGGCTAGCTGGTGATGTTTTCAACGTCCTAGGTGCTTTTTTACAACATGTCTTACCAACAATGATTATATTGGCAATTTATTATACTTTAGCTGATTTAGTTTTATTAGCACAAATATTCCTTTATGGTGATGGTCAAAATGTTGATCCTGTTCATTTATCACCTGCTAATCCATTATCAGAAAATATTTTTGATGAAGTATTAGATCAGGATTCTGATTCTACTTCAAATTCACAAATTGTGGAACAAGGATTACCAACAGCAACAACAAGTTCATCATCCAAGAAATCAACAAGAAGAACTATATTAGAAAGTTCATTGATTTTATTTGTCATTGTATCTGGTATTTTCGGTTGGTATTTAACTTATAATCCAGATTCAGATTCTTCACCTGATGAAGATTTAAAATTTGATGTATTAGCACAATCATTTGGTTGGTTATCTGCAGTTTTATACCTAGGTTCAAGAATGCCACAAATTTTATTAAATTATCAAAGAAAATCATGTGAAGGTATTTCATTCTTATTCTTTCTTTGTGCATGTTTAGGGAATTTAACTTATGTTATTTCTATCTTGTCTATAAGTGTTGATCCATATTTCCTTTTGGTTCAATCAAGTTGGTTGGCTGGTTCTATTGGGACTTTGAGTTTGGATTTTGTTATATTTGTTCAGTTCTTTTTGTATAATAGAGATGATGATTATGAAGAGTTGAACTGAGCTTTGAATACGCTAGTATTTCAAAGTAAAGAAAAGGAATATTAAAAGAATATCAAATCATGATACTTCACATACATTTATTTACATTTATTTATTAGAATTTGTATAATATAAACCAAAAAAAAAGAATTCATATAGTTATTTGCAATTCAAATTGTAATAAATCATTAATATCATTGAATTTCCCATACTTTATATACTTTTTTCAGTAATAAGTTACTTTTTAGTTTATATTGGTTACGTTATCGCTGATTAATTTCAGACGCGAAAACTGATTTTTGTATATAAATTTATTTCTACGCGTCATAAACATAATACTTGATTAACTCAACGCTAAACAATCAGAATCAAGGAGATCCAGAAACATGAGCACAAGACCAGAGTTAAAGTTCTCAGATACAACTGATGAACGTTCCTTTTATAGGAAATTCCAAAACTTACCTGCACAACCAGAACAAACATTAAGAATTGTTGATAAAACTGATTACTTCATTGCAGTTTCACAAAATGCAAAATTTATTGCAGAACAAATATATCATACAAATTCTGTTTTGAAAAATAACAATGGTGTTGAATACGTTACTATGTCTCATGCTGTTATGTCAAATTTATTATCAATGGCATTATTAGAAAAAGGTTACAAGATTGAAATTTATGATAAAAATTGGGAATTGACTAAATTTGCAAGTCCTGGGAATATAGAATCTGTTGAGGATTTAATGAATCCATCAGAATTAAACCAATCAGGTGATGCTCTTGTCCTAGTTTCGTTGAAAATTGTTAATAAAAATGAAGGTAAATCTATTGGTTATTGTTTTATAAATTCAAATATAAAAGAAATTGGGATTTCAGAATTCTTGGATAATGATTTATATTCTAATTTAGAAAGTTTATTAATTCAAATTGATGCTAAAGAAGTCTTGATCCCTACCCCTTCAAATGAATTAGATCCTGATTATACCAAATTAATTGGTGTTATTGATCGTTGTGGTGCCGTTGTTACAGAAATTCGTTCAAATGATTTTAATAATAAAGATATTGAACAAGATTTGATTAGATTATTAGGTGATGAGTTAATTTTTTCCACTGGTGATATATCAAATGCTTCACTAGGGTTAAGCTCTGCATCTGCCATCTTAAATTACTTGGGTTTATTAACTGATGATTCCAACTTCGGTTCATTTAATTTGAAAAATCATACATTAAATCAATTTATGAAATTAGATTCAGCTGCAGTTAAGGCATTAAACCTTTTCCCATCTTCTAAATCAACAAATGGGTCCAAAAATTCAAATGTTTTCGATTTATTAAATCATTGTAAAAGTATTGGAGGTACAAGATTATTACATCAATGGATAAAACAACCATTAATTGAAATTGATGAAATTTTACAACGTCATCAATTAGTTGGATGTCTTGTTGAGGATACTCAGTTAAGAACTTCATTACATGATGATTTAATGAATTCAATACCTGATATTAGAAAATTGAATAAAAAATTAAATAAATCAATTTATGCAAATTTAGAAGATGTTGTTAGAATTTATCAATTTTTAATTAAAATTCCTGAAATTTTAGAATTATTAGAATCAAAAATTAATGAAACTGAAAGTTTAGAATTAAAAGGATTAATTGAATTACATTGGGTTTCACCTTTGAAGGAATTAATGAATCCTTTATTAAAATTACAAGAATTAGTAGAAACCACAGTGGATTTAGAAAATTTAGATCGTCATGAATTTGTTATAAAACCAGATTATGATGAAATTTTATTAAAATATCGTGAAAGATTAGATGAAATTGAATCAACTATAAGATCAATCCATGCAGATGTTGCTGATGAATTAGGTCTTGATCCTGAAAAAAAATTAAAATTAGAATTACATCAAAATCATGGTTGGTGTATGAGATTAACACGTACAGAAGAACGTTCAATCCGTGGGAAATCAAAATTTATTGAATTACAAACCGTTAAAGCTGGTGTTTTCTTCACCACTGAAGAGATGAAAGATATTTCATTGGAAAGTTCTGAAATTCAAGCAAAATATAATAAGCAACAACGTTCATTAGTTAAAGAAATCATTTCAATCACAGCAACTTATTCTCCAGTTTTAGAAAAATTATCATTAATCCTTTCACATTTAGATGTTTTAACTTCATTTGCACATGTTTCTTCATATGCACCTGTTCCATATATTAAACCAAAAATGTATCCATTAAATTCTACAGAGGGGAAAACTATAGTTAAAGAAGCAAGACATCCATGTGTTGAGATGCAAGATGGTGTTACATTTATTGCAAATGATGTTGAATTAGTTAAAAATGAAACTGAATTCTTAATAATTACAGGTCCAAATATGGGTGGTAAATCAACTTATATTCGTCAAATTGGTACAATTTCATTAATAGCACAAATTGGATGTTTTGTCCCTGCAACTGAAGCTGAATTATGTGTTTTCGATGCTATATTGGCAAGAGTTGGTGCAGGAGATTCTCAATTGAAAGGTGTATCAACATTTATGATGGAAATGCTTGAAACTGCATCAATTTTACAAACTGCAAGTTCGAATTCTTTAATTATCATTGATGAATTAGGTAGAGGTACAAGTACTTATGATGGGTTTGGATTAGCTTGGGCTATATCTGAATTTATTGCAACGAAATTAAATTGTTTTACAATATTTGCAACACATTTCCATGAATTAACAAAATTATCTGATAAATTAAATAAAGTTAAAAATTTACATGTTGTTGCTCATGTTGAATCTAATTCAAATACTTCATCTGATATTACGTTATTATATAAAGTTGAACCTGGTATTTCTGATCAAAGTTTTGGTATTCATGTTGCAGAAGTTGTTAAATTCCCTGGAAAAATTGTATCAATGGCTAAGAGGAAAGCTGCTGAATTAGAAGAATATAATGATAATAAACAAGATCCTTATGTTGAGGATAAAAGAACTAAATGTTCATCAGATGAAATTTCTCAAGGTTCAGAATTATTGAAAAAAATTCTTAAAGAATGGAGAAATTCAATTGATTTTGAAAAAATCTCAAGTGAAGATGCTGTTAATAAATTAAAAGAATTAGTTAATGATCAATATAAAGATCAAGTTGAAAATTCTAAATATATCCAAGAGGTTTTAGAATTATGAGTTTAGCCCTTATTTTTCCCAGAAACACAATATAATGAAGCTATTGTGGGAGAGAGAATGTAACCTTATACAACCCATATACAACTCAAATACAAATTGTTATTTAATTGTTAAATCAATTGTAGTTATTCGTGCTTTTATATGTGTCGGAAATTGTCCAAATTAAGAATTTTAAGCGAACGTTAGAAATCCGAAAAATTAAGGGTATAAAAGAATTAATACCCACAATATTTCAATTCAATTCAATTCAATTGACAATTAGACAATTAACAATCAAACAATCAAACAATATGTCATTAGGAAAAGCTACAGACGTCTACTTAACTTTAAACAACGGGAACAAGATCCCAGCTTTAGGTTTAGGTACTGCAAATTATGGTGATGGTATTCCAGCAACTATTGATGCAGTTAAAATTGCAATTAAAGCAGGTTATAGACATATTGATACTGCATGGATTTATAACACTGAAAATGAAATTGGTATTGCATTGAAAGAGTTATTTGAACAAGGTATTGTTAAAAGAGAAGATTTATTCATTACTACAAAAGTTGGTAATCCATTATCTCAAAATCCTGAATTATCATTAAATCAATCTTTAGAAAAATTAGGTATTGAATATGTTGATTTATTATTACAACATTGGCCTTATGGTAATGAACCTGTTTATAATGAAGATGGTTCTTTAAATAGAGAGAAATCAATTGCTAATGGTACTAATCCTGATAAGATTGATAAAGATTATGTTGGAGCTTACAAGAAGATTGAAAAATTATATAAACAATATCCTGAAAAGATTAAAAATATTGGTGTTTCAAATTATTCAAATGAATTTTTAGGAAATTTAATCAATCAAGTTGAAGTTAAACCTGTTATTAATCAAATTGAATTACATCCTCATTTACCACAAAGAGACGTTGTTGAATTTGATGCTAAACATGATGTTTTAATCACTGCATATTCACCTGCTGGATCTTCAGGTGCTGCAAATATCCACATTCCATTAGTTAAAGAATTGGCTTCCAAATATAACACCACTGTTAATGCTGTTTTAACTTCATATCACATTCAAGAAGGTAGAATTGTTATACCAAAATCTATTAATGAACAAAGAATTAAAGATGCTACTGTTTTAGTTCCTTTAACTAAAGATGAATTACAACAATTACATGAATTTGGTGAATCAAATCCAAAAAGATTCATTGCTCCTGATCTTGGTAAAACTATAGGCTTTAAAATTTGGGATCAAAGTTCTTCAGTGATAAATTTTTAAACTCAGTGCTACATTTTATATACAAGCAATGATTATGAATATATTCTTATCTAGATTCTCTAAACGCTAAAATTGTATCAGATCACAACTTTTGTGAGTTCAACAAATCATATTGTTTAACAACATGACTAATTAAAGTATGAGCAATAGCAGTATCAGGAGGTAATGAAAAATCACCCTTTTCTCCATTCAATAATTTTCTAACCTGTTCAATGTCTAACCATTTAGCATCTAATAATTCAGGATCATGACCTAAATCAATATTTTCATTAACTTCATTAAATTCCACAAATGCAACACAACCAATCATTAAATTTGCCGGATATGGCCAAGGTTGACTTTGTAATATTTGAATTTTAGAAGCTTTAACACCAGTCTCTTCCCAAACTTCTCTTATTGATGCAACTTCAATAGTTTCTGAAGGTTCAATAAATCCTGCAATACAACTATACATTGGAATTGGAAATCTTTTACCTCTACCTAATAGAACTTTATCATATTTTTCATTTGTTATAGCTGTTATAATAACAGAATCTGTTCTGGGGAATGAAATATTTGAAACACTTGCATTTTTAACGGGACATTTGGAATCTTCACCGGATGAACATTTTAATTTAGTACCTGCTTGAATTGCAATTGTTTTGGATCCACAACCTGCACAGAATTTATTTCTATTTAACCAATCTAAATACATTCTACCTTGTGAAAAAATAGAAGCATCAAAATTATTTAATTTGAAAATTAAACTTAAACGATCTTTATAATGACTGAATTTTGATAAAAAATCATCAGATAGTTGTTTATTTTGTGTTATATCAACTGCATAATATGGAATACCTTCATATTGTTTATATTTAAACCCTTTTGAACGTTCATCAATCCCCAAAAATACAAATTTTAAATCATTAACACTTAAATCTTGAACTTCATGTAATTTAATAAACTCATCAACTTGAGGTTTTAATTCATTATAATTTGAATAATATAATTCAATCTTATCTTTATAACCTAATGGATTTTCATTAATAAATAAAATAAATTTTGTTAATGGATTAATTAATGATTGCTTTAAAAAAGTTTCATCATCACGTAAAAATGAAAATCTATTAACTGTATCATGACCGAAAAAGATATAATCTGAAGCTGGCATTTCTGGTGTATACTTGACAAGATGATTCTTCAACATGTTTAATCTATGAGCCATGATCTTGTGGATTCCTATCAGTTAATTTAGTAAATTCAACATGGGTATTAAAGAATTACAAATTACTCCGATTTCCAAATTGTGGAGCCGGTTAAATTTTCAAAAGCTTAAATTTTTTAAATAACCGGTGTATTACCGGTTAAATAAATTAAAAGTATAATAAACTACAAAAATCTCTTTAACTATAATATACGTATTTTAAAATATAAAACATCTTGTTGATGCTAGTAGTATTCCCAAAAGTAGAATGGTAGTTGTACATCTGTTTAATCCCAAGCGATGGAATATTCATCTTGTAAAAGTGGTCTGAATAAGACCAACTCTTATTGTTTAATTGAACCTGGTTTTTAATTTGTCAATATTAAAGTAATAATATTATAGTATATGTTGATATAAAGCAATCAAAAAGTTTGAATTAATACCCAAACTTTTAATTCTGGCAATATTAAATGCTAAAAAATGTGTAAAAATTGTAAGAAAAAATTGAGCTGATGAAAATAAGAGTAATCAATTCTGTATTATCAACTAGAAAGAAAGATATATGATATGATGATGATGATACTGGAAAAATTTATAGTTGTTTGATTGATGAAATAGCAAACATAAATGATGACAACTTGCCGTATATCTTTATAGCACTTGAAATTATTAATATTAAAAGAGCTATTAAATTTATCAATCCCCCATACTGGCCAAATTGTATGATTAAATAGAGTCATTAAAAAAAGACCAAAAAGAAAGGAATCCATGTCTAAAAAAAAACAAAATAAAACCCACAAATTGATCGACTAAAATTATAACCAATGTGGATTACCAGTTGGAGCTGGTGCATCTTTAGGTTCAGTAGCTCTTGGAATAGGTTGTTGTTGTTGTTGAACTTGTGATTGTTGTACCCTATCACGTAATGGTTGACCTAAAGTTGAATTTTTTGGAACTTGTTTATCAGCAATTTCTTGATTCCAATAATTAATTCTTGTATTTGGATTTTTAGAAGTTTGAGGAACTTCAGCAGCTGGTGATTGATTTTGTTGTTTAGCAATAAATGCACTTTGTTGTTGACCTGATGCTAATTGTTGTGGTTGAGCTAACTGAGGTGATTGATGTTGACCATTGGTTGGTTGTTGTTGTAATTGAGGTTGTTGTTGAATTGGTGTTTGACCAGCTACTTGAACTTGATTTGAATTATCATCTTTACCATCTTTTTCATCTTCATTTTTACCTTCACCTGGTGCACCATTCTTAACTTGTTGTTTTTGTTTTTGTAAAGCCCAATCAAATATATAATCGTATTTATAACCTTCTCTTAAAAATAAATCTCTAAATAATCTTCTTAAATAGATATAATCAGGTTTATCTTCAAATCTTAAAGATCTAGTATAATTTAAATAATGAACAAATTCCACTGGTAAACCTCTACCTAAAATTTCAGCTGGTGTTGACATTTTTTTTTCCATAATACGATCGTATTTTTGTCTTTTGGTAGCAGCTTTAAGACCTTGCCATGGTAAAAAACCTCTGCAGAAATATATCAAAACATAACCCAAACTTTCTAAATCATCCCTTCTTGATTGTTCAATACCAAGATGTGTATTAATACTTGCATATCTTGCTGTACCTGTTAAATTTTTATTTTCTCTATATGGGATATGTAAATGAGTTCTTGGATCTCTAAATTTTTTAGCTAAACCAAAATCAATTACATTAACTTGTGCACCTCTTTTTCCTATACCCATAAGAAAATTATCTGGTTTAATATCTCTATGAATAAAACATCTTGCATGAATATATTCAATACGACATAATAATTGATCAGCTAATAATAAAACAGTTTTATAACTAAACTTTCTGTTACAATAATTGAATAAATCTTCTAAAGATGGACCTAATAAATCAATAACCATTGCATGATAATCACATTCAGTACCATACCATCTAACAAAAGGTATACCAACACCACCACTTAAAGCTTTATAAACTCTAGCTTCATATTCTAATTGTGGATGTCTAGCACTTATACTTTCTAATTTGATGGCAACCAGCTCACCACTAATAATATTTGTACCTAAATAGATATCACCAAAAGAACCTGAACCAATTTTACGACCAATACGATATTTTCTTCCGACTCTCAAGTCCATATTTGCATTAACTTCAGTCATAACTTTCTATATCCCTGTATTATAAAATAATGGAAGAACAAAACAAAAACTTTATATCTTGTTTATGTGGAATAATCTTGAATTGAATAGTAATTGTATAATCTATACGGTGAACGGGAATAATGGATTCAAAAAATAACAATCTTTGAAATCTAATAGTATGACGATATAATCTTTTTTCCTTTCTTTGATTGTGAATCTAAATGATGATAATAATCTTTATGAAACCAACAAATTCAACTTGAAACTAAATGATTATCGATAAAAAATCACAAAACTAAAACCGCCTAAAAAAAACACAACAAACACTAAACGACACGCAACAAATGACACTTTGTGGATGGGAGTTCTTAAAACTGGGCGTAGTATATGACAGAAAAGATATCAAAGCACTGGAATATCACCAAAATGACGACTTTGTTGATTTGTAAATGATGAGTTGTTTGAATTGTTGAAGGGGATGTGGACTTGTGTTGTGATTTGGTTTCAACTTTCAGGGAATTTTTTTTGAATTTCTGTTTTTGCGTTGTGTGGAAAGGTAGGGAGTTCCGGGGGTCTAGTGAAATGAATTATTTAGTGGAATTTCGATGATTGATTGGTTGATTTTAGAGTGGATTTCATTGTTTAGGTTGGAATTGAAACATATTCAAGTTATTGTTAGATGATTCCATTACTCTAATTCTTCTCTACGCTATTTTACCTACGCTTTCCAGCTCAATTCTTCAATACTTGTAAAACTAAAGTCTATCTGTGTCATGTGACTATAGCTTAGTCGGAACTCGACGTCGCATTTTTTGATCCAGATTCAATCAAAAGACTTTTTGAATATTTTTAATTATTTCAAATGAAATTTATGAATGAAAGTTTTTATAATGATTGATTAGATATTGCTAAAGTGACATCGAATTCACATGTATTAATCACTGATCAATCCATCATATATTACCAAGACTGCTGGGTAATTGCAGAGGTGAGGTATGAGGTATGAGGTATGTATCAATGCAAAACTAAAAGCAATATTACATATTCGTCGTTATATTATATGACTATAGATTATATCAAATATTATCAATAATCTTACCTGCATTTCCCTTATATATATATATATATACATATTATATATTGTTAAGTGATAATATACTAATGGGAATTGTAACTTCAGCTAGCTCCTCAACATCCATTCCACCTGTTACGCTAAACTACTACTATATTAGGGATTAGTTATCACTTATATTAGTGGATAAGAAGTCAAATACGGATCATGTTACATGACGTATAGATTAGAATAAGGATTTAAATCGATAACAGAGATGTTCAAAAGCCTAACTCATGATATATGATCATTCAATATATCCAACTGCAGTAAGAACTATAGAGCGTATTAGTTAAATCGGGAGGAACAACATCTGATCTATAGTAAATAGAGCGCTTCGACTGACGATAAATCCGATTAGATCTCCAGCTGACCCAGAATCTACATTAATTCAAAAATTATTAGAATATCTAGTTCAATCATAGGAAATTGATTTAGTGAAGCTAAAGCTGATCATCAATTATATAATGGTCGGAACTCGAATACGGGTTTAACTAGGTAATAATAAGTTATAACCATGCAATTGTTAAGTGTTAGAAACTATCATAAGAGCGCCAAATTTAAAGGATGACTACATTATTATCCATATTCGAACAACACATTACACACCTTAGTAACCAACACAATAATTCATACAAGCTAGTCACGTGATTACTCAATTCCGAGGTTTCGCGAATTTT